ATTAACCTGAATTTATTTTTATTTTTTTTCTGTGACTATTCAACCTGCAGCTCTAATCCCCTCCCTGCTCACAGCCATCTGTCCACTGTCGCCCCCACCCACGTCTCTTTTCTGTGCCTCCTTGTCTCACTTTCATACCAAACGTTATTGGATGGAGCAGATAAACCAGGAGATCAGTCATTTATTGCACCTTTACTCGGGGAAGTCTGGAAGTACAGTGCCACAACTTGACCTTTCACCTAAGGTGAAGCTGCGAACCTGCCGAGGCGACGGACCAAGAGCTCAGCAGTAAATGTCAAATGGAGTGCTGAGAAGGTATTCGGTCTGGTAGCTCGTTAACGTTCCTTTTAATTACATGGGTATGTTGTAAAGTCTCATGTCACAGTTTGCATAGCGGCAGGAAAGAAGGTCGTTATCTGAAGCGGTGGATGGCCAACATATAGAAAGATCTGCACTGTTCTATCTCTAACTAAATACACATATTGTCGCCTGTGAGACACTTAAATCGCCAAGTGGAATCTGAAATGTCTGTTTCTGTACTAAGGATATTATCCCCTAAAATTTTAACGGCATTAACTCTCCACCATCTGTAGCATGTGCCAGCAGCTCCGTCTCGTCATCTTATCCACGAAGCAAATAGCGCGAATGATAGGATGGTGAACAAAAGACCCATCAGAATCCACATGTAAGCACAATTTGCACTTTTTGCAACAGACTTCAGTTGTCTTCACCTCTCAACTTATGTAATTTAGACATAAATATGACAGGATGACTGCTGGGTCTAGATTTCTATAAGAGCTTCAGGTAACAAAAACCCAATTCTTATGAAACATAATAAAAAACAGATGCAACATCTGGTGAGGAATAAATTAGGACACACCCATGTTTATTCCAATTTAAGTGGCTATCAGGAGCACATGATTACAACATCATTACTGAGCATTTTGAACAACCGTGGGGAAACCCAAAGGAGTGTCTGCGGTCTTTAGAAGAAAGATTTTTTTAACAGCTCTTGAATCTGGTTAGGTATTCAATCAGCCATTACAGTGTACACAAAATAATGCAATATTAATTGCATAAATATTTGTTGGCACACCGCCCTGTAAATGCCTGGTTAGCACTTAGAGAAACTCAGAACACCTGGTGCTCTACGTGTTAAAATTGTGCTTTGGATCAGTTGTTGGGACAGAAAGAAAATCCTAAATGCCAATCTAGAACCTGGGCTCGTTCTGCTTGGAGTTTGCATGCTCTCGCTATGGCATGACTATAAAATTCTTTTTGTTTTTGCCATAAAATTTCTCTTAGGCGTGAACGTGCATGCATGGTTGTGTGTCTGTGTTGTTTTGCGATGAACTCCATCTCTTGCGCAATGGCACCAGCCTCCTCTCGCCACCTTCCCAAATCTGCAAGGAGAAACAGGTACAGATGGCAGATGGATGGATAAATATCCATCCGTCACAGATTCTCTCCTAAATGCATGCACAGACAAGAAATGACTAATTTTCTGTCCTGCCAACTCTTTTACCCTTCCTGGAGTTTGTAGAAGCCGACAGATATGGAGAGTTGTTTCTGCTAATTGCATGTATAACACCTAAAACGTGGAAAAATTGTGTCGGTGCAAAGAGGAGCTTACTTGCTTGGCAGCACAGTTTAAGGTTTAAATTTTACTTTGTAAGTTAGACCAGTGTCCCAACATCACATCATGTGCAAAGCAGCATCATTAACCTCCATTTTTTATTTCCTCCGTAAAGGCCGAGTAGTAAAGGTTTTGATCAAACACCACACTTTTCTACTCCTCAGTCACCTTTATGTTTGACAGTTTTTTTTTTCCAAATGCACATTTCTGCAAGAAGACAAACCAGAAATTAATTTTTTTTAAAAAGAAAGAAACAGCATTTTCAGACAGCAGCATCAACGATGTCAAAGCAGATTGCACATAGTCGTCATTGGGCTTTCTTTTCACGGAACCAGACTCAAATAAAGCAGATATTTACACTTGCACTCTTTGTTTATCCTGGAAAGATGTTCAGGAATCTCTCTGTTGTAGTCAGGCAGGAACGCCAGAAGCTTTGAACTCAGCCTCTCGGAGACTTTAGCTGTCATCCGACTGAAGCATGAGTCTGAGCTGTTTTTCACTCCTGCGGATTCATGAGAAATGTGACAGCTTGCATGCACTCCAATATGTAAAGCGACTGAGCAGCCCGGTCTTTCACTGAGACCCACTTAAATAAAACTTATTGCAATAAAAGCAAAAGCACTAATACGCTTTGGAGATCAAAAAAAAGATAATGTCATGTGACAAAGTGATGGCCACTTATTGTCTTTTTCTCTGCCACGTTGCATATTTACAGGAGCGGGTCCCCCCCCCCCTCCAAAATATATTCACATACAGTAACTTTACATGCAGATCAGTGCTACGTTTTCAGATATGCGTAGCTGGAGGCCATGAGAGCGTGTGCATACAGTGAGGCTCTAAAGGGTCTCTTGTCAACAGGCTTTTGATCGCACATCCATCATCTCCCCTGAGAGCGTCAAATTAGCAATAAGCGAAACAGGTGGCCTGCCAGCAGATGCCAAGGAGTTAACAGCAGAGAAAATTGAGGTCATGTTTGTTTAATCACTCCAAGCATAACAGGGATTTGACTTTTTTTTTTTTTTTTTCCATTCGATTCAGGAGAAACAGTTGTGTTGTAGTGCGGTAATATTTAAATTTGATCTTCAACTTTTAGCCTCAGTGTTGCCGTTTGCTAAAGTCTCCTGGATGAGTGACAAAACTTGTAGTTTTTTTTTTTTTTTAATTAACTGCATTACTGATTGTTCGTATTCTGATCAACACATCTTTGGATAAATACGCATATATGTGGTTGGGATTTATTTTTATTTTTTTCGCAGAAATACATATATATCATATTAAAATGTGATCACGTTGCTTCAGTGCAGAGAGACAATATTGGCTTGGTATCCGTTTCAGAAGCAGATATTGCCTCCGCCTGCAGTTTGAGAATGAAATTAACCCACTAACTCTGATTTCACACTACTTTATGCATATATACTATAGCAAAGGGGGGGGGTTTACCCCTCCCCACTGTAAAGAGAAGTAACTTGGTTTATTTTGAAATCACCAACATTTTTGTTAATAATAAGAGATTAAAGTGAAGTAAAGCTAAGGCAAAGAGGTCTTTTGCAATATGTGCATGTCTAGATAAATAAAGGGTGATGAGGAAACGCTGTGATGAAACCTCTACTGCTGAGAATCGTCTCAAGCATGTAAATTGAATCCAATAATCGCCTCAGGCAGCAAACGAGATAATTCAGTCAGTAATTTGTGGAAGATAACGTCAGAGGTCAGAGTAGTCCTTCCATCCATTTGCATTTACTTTGGCGCACTTCTCGCCTTTTCGCACCGTCACCGTTTTTCTTACTTCCTGTCAGACTGAGAGATATTCGGAGAACAAAAGAAAAAAGTCTAAATCACATAGCTGAACTGGGATTTGGCTCCACGAAGCGCTCAAGGACTCTCATTACCTTCCGATCTTGCAGTTTTAGAGTTTCCATTGTGAATTCAGCTGCAGAATATTGTAATCCAAATACGTAATGTTCTAATGAAAGTTAACAGTTGCCTTCTCATAAGGACTGGCTGAGAACAGCGACCATTACCAAAAAACAGAGATGCAACTCAAGCAGAATTGTTTTTTTTGTTGTTTTGTTTAGTTTTTTAAAAAGAGGACTTCAGAAGAGGGAGACAGAGAAGGCATGGCCCAGATCAGATTGTTCTGGAGGATATAAAGGAGAATAATCGTGAAAATATATCGATTTACCCAAACTTATCCGCTGAGGAAAACTCAGTGTATTTATTGGAATTTTGTATAAACCAACAAAAAGAGCTGCAAGATAGTAAGAGTTGTTTTTACAGCTGCAAACCTTTTATCCTAACGCATGCCTCTCCCAGCTTTTGCGCTTAAAGAAAGAATATTCTTGGCCATTTATGATTGTGAAACAACTCCGGCTCAGCTAGACTAAGAGCTGGGCTTTAACTGGGCCATTCCAGAAACCAGCAATGCAACAATTCAGAGTTGCTGTCCTGCTAGAAGGTGAACCTGCCTTGTCGTCTCTAGTTGTTTGCAGCGTCTAACAGGGTTACCCAAATGCTCCATCCACCTACATCTTATCTCCCTCTTGTCCCTGCAAAAGAAAAATATACAGTGTTCACAGTGTGGACAGTGTGTTCAGGCTGAAACACAGTGTTATCGTTCACAATGAACAGTTTGCATGTAGACTAAAAGAAGAAAAAAAGAGTATGTTCCTGCTGTTGTTTGCTGTACCGTCTACATGGTCGGTGAAAGACTTTTAAATGTGTGTTTTTATTGTTTCCTTTAAAATAATGTCTGTCTTCTTCCCAGTTTTCTTCTGAAGCGAGATATATAGATAAAGGGGAAAGAGGTAATAGTTGTTCTGTCCACCTGAGCTAGCATACTGTTACAGCTCCTCTGAAGTTACAACAGGCTCCCTGATGATTAATGCTCTCTTTGCTTAGTGAGTTTGAAGTGGGAATTAAAGGGTAGCCAGTGGTTTTACACATGTAGGCTTATTTACTAACTAGGTGAAGACGGTTGGTTGCACAACAGTTTACTTAGGAGCACAAGAGCGAAGGAGGCGGCTTATAAAAAAATAAACTTTGTTCAGCTTTAGAATCACATCCTAGTCGTGTTTATTTGTATGGCGCATTTCAGAAACAAGGCACTTAAAAATGTTTTACCTCATAAAAAAAAAAAAAAAAAAAACATCATACAGTCAACTAAGTAATGAGCGGTAAAATATCATGAAAATCATCAATACTTTGTGATGTGCAATTACATAAGATCCATATAAATAGACCTATAAGAAAATACAGCAGCACAAATATGCTGCTGTCTTTGTTTTTTAATGGGATTCAGCCCCACAGATATAAGCTGTGAAGCTCAAGCTGTCTTCTCTGAGCCATTAGAGGTTTCCCCGCATTTTGTTGCAGCATGAGAGCGGAGCAGAACAGAGGTTTCTGCTGGCACAGCACTGCTGGATGTGAAGAGTCATGATTTAGTCAAGAGTCTCCTCATATCCCAAGGACATGTTCATGTTCAAAAGGCTGTTCTCCCTCAGGCTCCGTGAACCCTACCCATGAGCCCCTTCTGCCCTGACTTCTTTCATGTGTGCGCATTGTTATTTTGCTGGTGCCGTGTCAAATGGGTTCGCTGCTTTAATTGACCGAAGAAAACAGCTGCAGAAATCGTCATTAAAATAGCATTTGCGACGATCGGCTGTGAGTGGAGAAGTTGGGGGGGGGGTTCTTGAACCGTCGACCCTTTCGGAGGTGACCTGTACAGGAGACGTGACCTTTGCTGCTGCACAACCGGAGGATTCGTCGAGGAACATCGCGTTGCTTTGGATTTACGTTTACAGACATTCAGAAATCAAGGCATGCACGAGCCTAACCGCGCCTGCAGTGTTGCGTGGCGAGGAGCCACAACAGCTGAGTTAGTTCCTCTGCCGAGTGCCGAGGAGAGCTTACATATTCTGCACACAAATAGGCTGGAAGCCCACAAGCGACGAAAAAAAAAAGAGCTGTTGTCAGCCAGAGAGGAGCACACACAGAGCCAGTGGGTGAGAAACGCCTGACTACTTGTTTATGCCTCTTTCTTAACTTATCGTAATTTCTCACTGCACTGTTATAATTTTTTCATGATTAGGAAATCGGCTCAACCATGCAAAACAACTGGAGGGCAGAAAAGGCCCTTTGTGACAGCAGCATCTTCTGTCAATGCGTCATGTGTAGATTTTTATTTTATTTGGATTTTATGGGATAAACCATGAAACCATGAAGTTTTCAATACAATCTTACTGCAGCATTTAAATCCAGAATTCAATGAAATGTAACTTGGTTAACTTTTGTATTTTATTTTTATGTTTTTTTCACATTTTGTCCATTTGAACAAGCAAATTAATTTCATTGGAATTTGATATAACATGTGAACACAGAATTGTGCGGCTTCAAAGTGTTTATTTGATACTTGTAAATAAAAAGTTGCATGGATTTGTTTTCAAACCTGTCAAACTTTTCACTGCGTTTACAGCAGCAAGTTTTTTCGTCGTATGTCTCCAGCAGTAAATGTTGTTGGCAACTACAAAAGGCACAACTTCTGGTTTTCTCTTTAATTATAGATGGACAGACAGACAGGTTTTCAGAAAGCCTATGCTAAGCTCCACAACTGATGCTCAAGCAGATTATTTAAAAAAAAAATAAAAACTTCACTCACAAAAAGTATGCTAGTGTGCTTAATCAGAATCATAAGCAGCTCGAGTTTTCACAATTTTGCAAAGCAACCCCCCTCCGCTTCCTCAATCCCATCCGACTTCTGTGCTGCAGAGGCTTTGAGACGAGCGAAAGAAGGGGAGGACTGGAAGCCCCTCTGGACTTGAAAGACTCACAGAAATCCCATCATCTGCCTTGCCGATGGGCACAGTTCAGGTGTTTTCACACTGACGTTTTATCAAATGTGATGACTGAAGATCCATGGCTCCAGACAGTGTCAGCTTAGGCACACACTGAAGCAAAATGAGCGGTGAGAGAAGAGCCTTTTCAAAACTATACGCTTTTGAGGTGCGAGACGGGGCTTTACGAAAGTCGTAAAGGCGCTGACGAATGACGCCGCACCAGAAGTTTCTTCTCCAAACTGCAGTAAAGATCTTATATACAAACATCTCTGGAATCTACTTTCTAATAAGAATATGAAAGGCACAGTAAAGTTTGTTATTGGGTGGAAATCCTGTTGGGGGTTTTCCCAGAAGACGCCGCATGTCACTGCATGCTGGATTGTTGCCTCTCTTCGTGAGGATATTTCATGCTTCCCTGCAGTGGACTGACCAAAGCCTGTTCAGGCACATGCCAGAATACTCTGCTGCCTTTTGAAATCGTCCCTAAGACAAAATCACTGGGGATTTTTTCTGCTGTGGTATCAACAAACACAATTCTTCTGTTTCTTCCTAGCGGAAACCAGTGGGAGTCTCTGTGAGAGGGGAAACTTGGAAAAACCCCTCGTCTCTTCTTCAATCTTGTTTTGCACACTTCACCACATGCATTTTGACATTCTCCTCATAGGAAAACACAGGACTGCTTGCAGATTTTTCTCACATACCTGTATGTTCCTCTTTTCAAAGTAAAAGGGGAATTAGAGCTCTGACAGCCCACATAGGAACTGAACTCCACAAGACAAAACAAAGTAAAGATAAATGTGAGGGAAGCCACTGCAAGGGAGTAACATTTTTAATCAGTTTCCAGAGAGATATTTTTGTTTACCAAGAGATTGTGTTTCTCCACGTATGGCACTCTCGTAACTTTTATTTTTGAATCAAGGGTTCAAAAGCAAAACGACTGAAGATTTCAAGTCTCTTTTTTCAAATCCAAAAAGGTTACATGTGGTAAGATTACTACGACTTTAAGCAAACTGGGAAACCCTGGAAACTTTGTAACATCAAGATGACCGGAGATGCCAAGTTTATCTATTAAAACAATTATGTAAAAGTATCCACCTTATTCCTCAAACACATGATGCTTTGCATAGCATGTCCTGTCGTTTTTGAAAGATCACAAGGTGGATTGTGGTTGTAAACCAGTTCTTTAGTAAAATGAATCCTGTACTGACATGGGTTGAACCCATTTTGCAGGTATTTGTTGTAGAAAAAGTTGATCACTCAGGGCGTCTGTGTAATTCACTGTGTTCAGGCTGGAGTCTTACGTTTGTTTTTATTTTAATGTACGTTCTGCTCTCCCATCACATTTTCTCCTAATTTGACTCGCTGTCATTCATCTGGTTTTGTGCTGCGCCTTGGTGAAAGTCCATACTGTGTGATTTAAATGTAAGGGTTGTTCACAGAAGCATGGCAAATATCGGGTATCAACTTTCTTATCTCGTTGCAGGGACACATCAACATTGATGCCGGCCTGTTTGAGGTTAATCGCATTAAAAGAAGATCGGCAGTGTCTACTAGAGGAAAGTCGTGATTGTAGTGCAGATTCAGGCAGGGATATCAGACTCACAGCTGAACAAAGTGGCATGGTTAGGATTTTTTTTAAGGCCCAGACGGCTCGGGGGACCTGCTGTGGGGGTGCTGAGCCTTGTTCTTTGGAAGGAAAGCACTTATTATTAATAATTCAGGACCAGCTCCACTTTATTATCAGAGGAGGTGCTTCGTCGTCTCATCCAGCGAGAGCTTAAATCCTCAGTCTTTACACTGGATCTCAGATTAGGAATCAGAGGCACAGGATGTGATTATGAGTTGCAGACACTTCAGCAGGTGTCAGTCTGGTTCTTGAAGTCCTCTGTCGTCTACTCTACTGCACCGTTTTCTAATTATGTGCCGTGACTGGTAAGTTCCTAAAGAGCACAGAGAGAAAGAATGGCCCTTTAATGTGATAAATCTGTTTATTTCTTCATTTTCTTCTTGAGTGTTATAGCACCTAAATAAAAAACAACAGTTATATTGCTTTTCTTGTGAAAAAAAGTGCTTTTAATCAATGTGTCTGTAGAATTGGAAGGCAATGAAAAACAAATTTCTCATTAGTGTTTTGTCTTAATTTTTGTTAGTTTTAAAATGTCAATATTGGCTGAAATAAAACGGTTTGGAGAAAAACTGTGAAGAGTCAAATAAAACAACAATTCTACAGTTCTTCATTAAATAATTTTAACTTGACGATCATTATTATGGCTTGTCAATTTGACCCCAACTTCTGATTGGTTCTGATCGATCCGTAGCCATGTAGGGACCGCCTCCTGGTAAGGATAAAAAGAAATTCATACAGTGATGAAAAGGATTAGTATAAAATAACATATATATAACTGAATACATATTACCATTAATAATTTACACATATGAATTAATAAATAAAAAAAAACTGATTATGCATATACAAGTTTATTTAAGAAGATTTCCAGGTGCTGCTTAATTTTGCATTTTAGCGAAATCTTATTTTTCCGAGAGCTACATCAACATATTAGCTTACACTGAATTCTGATGTCTTGTTTTTTGTTTTGTTTTGTTTTGTTTTTTTACACACAGTTGGTCTTCATCTGGGATCAGCTGGATGAAGCTACTTATGCATTCTTCCAGGTCTCACCGCTTCAAATGTTTTCACTGCCATGCGTGTTGTTCTGTCTTAATAATATTTATAAATCTAGAGTACTGTGTCTTCTGCATATCAAACGTGAGACTATTTTACATGTAGTGGGCTTGGTTACTTTATCTCATGCAGTAATTTGCAACTTCACAGTCAGAAGACGATGAAAACATTTCCGGAAGACGAACTCTCGGTTCATCTTTTCTTATTCCTTTCTTTTTTTATTTGTATCACAGATAAAAACCGTAATAACTCTGATCTGACTCCCAACTGAAATAGAGGCACATGAGAGCAGTATGCCTGAAGTTATTCTCACCACTGTGTGAGATTTAAGTTCAGTAATCTTTACAGGTTTGAAGAAGTCTTTTCATTTCACCAACATCTTTCTTCAGGCTGGGAGTAACACTCATGTTCAGCATTCAGCCAGAGTCCAGGCATGAATCTAAGAGAAAATCTATGGAGGGAGCTAAAGATTTCTTGGTTCAATAAAAATTATGTTAAACCTAAACCTGCCTCAGGTTTGAATAAATTAAGTCTTATCTGCATTTTCTATGTATTTATCGGTTTAAAAGCATCGAATTCTACTAGCTTAGCATTTCCCCCTCAAGAAGACACAATCAATCCATCCATTGACTTCTGATTATCTGAAGGCAGCTGCATAGGATAGAAAGCTTTACCAATAAACTCTATGGGCTGATTCATTTCATATTTACCATTTATGAAAGATTAAAACTTTTCTTACATTTAAAGCACCATCTCCATTATTTCTGTTTGTTTAGCTCTTTTTTCATTTGAATAATCAGATGTTTTCTTTTCTAAAGGGAGTTTTCTAGTGTACAGAAGGCAGAGTATCCCTCACATAAATTCTTTATGTTAACAAGAGAACATTCATTTACAACAGGTACAATCTTTCCAGTAGCGATAGCACCTAAAACCCTTAAAACCAAAGCTGTCAACCAATCTTTCCTTCCTCATACACACTTCCAGCCAGTCTGTCAGCCAGGTAGAGCTTTCTGACAGTAAGAGGGTCAGAATGGAACAACCTTCAGGTGTTAGGAGTTAGCTTACATCAGAGGGGATTTGGATAATAAATCATGTTGCCTTTCTGGTTAGGCGTTGTGTTTTTAATCCAATCAGTGGGAATTAATCTTCAAAAAATAGTTTCTATTTCAAAGAGAGGTTGGTGTAGATTTAAGGCTAATTGCATCAACTAGCTCTGGATACAGGTTCAGTAAATGATGAATGATGGAATAAAATCACATGGCTGGTTTAAAACCTATCATAGAACGATGATCAGGGAGTTTCCTCATGAATCCATTTGTTGTTATCATTTCTTCAAACACATAAATTAACCAATCAGTATCTAAGATGATGAACATTTTCTGTTGATATTAATGCTGGTGTACCTCAAGGCCCTGCATTCGATCCTCTTAATTTTCCCCTGTGTCATAAAGACATTCCTGCAATTTGTCCATCTCATATTTTCTTATTCTTATCAGATCTACATTTAGGATGTTGCGTATTTACACATAGTTTGAATGTTTAAGCTCTCATACTGGTTCAGTGTTGAATGTGTTCTTCTCAATGTCGATGAAACTGTCTACAGATATTTTTTTAAGGACTATAAACAGAGATCTGGAACCAGTAATGTCACCGGGAAAAACACTGCTACTTATACTGGATTGTAAATACACAGGTGAAATATTTACAATCTGCCTTAAAGTACATTTTTAGAAAGTAGTAAATATATTTATTTTTACATATTTTTGTAGGTGTACATGAATGCCATGATTATGTCACACACACATTATTTCTGGCAAAATAATGAGGGCACAACTGCAAACAGTAGAAAAATGGTACAGTATGAGCAAGCTTTAAAAATATTAAGCAAAAAATCTAAGTCTTCATCATTATAGAGATTTAACTATATTGAATATTTATGCTGGGGGGAAAAAAACACAATTAAATATTCAGATATTTCACTAGTGAATAAAATATCACAATGTGTAGTTCTT